GCTGTGGACCTTAATTCTGTGGCTGTGTCTTCTACTTATGACAGTCTCAATTTGCCTATCACATGAGTTTTCTTTCCATTATCTTAGTAACAGAACCCCTGATTTTACACTGGAGGGAGTTAAAGATGTATTTCCAAGTCTCCTTGCTGCTAAGTTCTGGCTAATATGCAGATCTTAGCAGATCTAATGCAATATAGGCATAAATACCATGTGCATTGCTGGATTCTGTCCCTACCAGGGAGAAGACATACCTTCCCGAGGGCTGGAGCTGACCACTCACACTGAACCATGTGAGATGTTACTGAGAGGAAATCTTTTTTCTCTCCTTGAACAAATCACCTCAAGGCCTGAGAACTGAGCTGTTGAAACACACACACAACTCTCTACTGACTGTCCCTGAATGCCAAAGTCAACTGACTTTCTTTTCATTTCCCTTCTGCCCCTGGACTTTTATCTAGGCCTATTAATGGGATGAATCAGTATTTGATTCATTTATCCCTGATTCCAAGAGAGAATGGGGAGATAGATGGGTAGGTAGATAAACAAGGACTGAAAGATCTCGAGCTGCCTTCTCAACCAGGTGTAAATGGGAGTTGCCCACCCAGAAACCCCACTCTGCCACCAACCCAAGACCCTGTGAGCACCAGGCCTCGTGTGTACCTTGCTTATATTTATACTTCTGTCTACTCTTACTCTTAAAAGCTCATGTCATCTCCCCCAACAGTGATTTCCAGACACAGTTCACCTCTTCCTAATAAATACCCAGAAAGCGCAGCGACCAGTTATGCTGCTCATTGTCAGGCCTATAAGTCAGAAAAACTTGCAAAAGTAATTGGCAAACAGACATGACCATAAATGTGAAACATCTTGCTGAGGGTGGGTGAAAAACACCAAAGAAATATAGCTCAGGCCATGGAAAAAACTATGAGGCAGGATGTGAACCCCCTTCTACTGGAAGAAATGTAATATAAAAAGTACACAGCTGGATTGAAGTTGCTCACAAGGATCAAAGTCAGCTTCTAGACCAGAAAGCCCAAGAAGAGTCAATCACACTGTTTATGGTATGTGATTTCTGGAAGGAATTATGAGAAATGAAAGCAATTTTCTATTAAAACAATTGTACCTGTAGGCTTCTGCCTAGATGTGCTGAACCTGACTCTCAACTCTTATTTTTGGTTTGCAAGATTTTCCATAGAAGAGACAATCTTTCTGCTCTTTCTTACAACTTTTCTCATCAAAGTGGAACTTTGGGTGGCTTCATATCATAACCGCAGGCCAGAGAAGATGCCTCTTCTGTGGTGTGAGTTCCTCCCTGGAAATTCTTGGTAGAGATGTTAAAGTGAGGTGCCCTGGATGGGTGCCCTGGATGAAAGGCCAGAACGTCCCTCCCCCTGGCAGGTATTTGCCACCACCTGGCTCTGTCTTGCTTTCCTCACAAAGCGTATTGGTACCTGACGTCCCTTCATCTGTGTGATTTCCTTGGGGCTGACAACCTCGTGGGGGACGGGGGTGCTGATGGAAGTTGCAGGCTTGTTTGCTTTGGGCAGCCCAGTGGTCTACCTCGATTTTGAGTTGGAATGTCTTTAGGCAAGCAGCAACTCCAGCTCAGCGTCACCACCACTCCTGTGGCCTCCACCTGATGTCGTCACACGTTTCGAGTTCTCTGCCTGGCCTGCTGGGGCCATTTGCAGATGGGAACGGTGGCTTCTTTCCATCAGGTCTGGCCCTGGTCCACAGCTCCAGAGAGCAGAGCATCCTGGTTCCCCAGCTCCCGTCACGCAGGCATCAAGTGAGTGTGTGTTCCCTGGGATCTGAAGTGAGAAGGACCATTTGTGGCTTCTTCTAACCTGTCATGGGCAAGAGGGGACTTTCTGCCCTTTTCACAATTCTCATCTGTAGGAGGGTTGGGGGGTTACAACTCCTCTTGAGAGAGGTGGAAACGAAGGGCCAGTCACTGTGGCAGGAAGAGTCGTGCTCCCTCATCTCTAAATAAGTCCACATTTAAATCCCAAACCTGTGAACATGCCACTGTGTGAGAAGGGACTTTGCAGGTGTGTCTGAGTTAAGGTCCTTGAGATGGGGCTTATCCTGCATTCTGTGTCCAGCTGGGCTCAGTGTAACCACAGGGATCTTATGATGGAAAGAGGGAGGCAGGAAAGCCAGAGTCCGAGAAGGTCACAGGCCGACAGGAGCAGCGGTCAGAGTGATGCTTTGCTGGAGGAGCGGGCAGAGCCCAGGGATGCCGTGTCTTCCCGAAGTGGACAGGGCAAGGGGATGCTCCCCTGGAGCCTACGCCACCCCTGGACTTCAGCCCAGTGAGACCTGTGCTGGACTTCTGAACTTGAGAAGCATAAGACGAAACATTCGTGCTGTTCTAAGACATCCGGTTTGTAGCAGTTTATTGTAGGACACAGCATAGCGAGTCAACAGCTATTGAGCACCTGTTTTGAGCTACTGGCAATTAAACGTGACAGCCTACAAATAATGTTACTGAAACCCAGAAATGGGGATTTTTAAAATTGTCTCAAAATAAGAGACAGATGTGGTCCTTAAACATTATTCTTTAAGAAACACAAATGTTAAACAAGTGCTTATAAATAGTAGCTGAGCAATTAGAAGTGTAAGAAATGAGGCAGAGAAATTTAGGGTACCCTGGGCCTAACCTGGGGTGACTGGAAAGGGATGCACAGCTGAGATCCGAGTGTCGGGTGGTAATTAGCCAGGAGAAGGAGCCCACAAGAGTGTTCCAGGCAGAGGCAACAGAACGCGGTGTGTTTGGGGAGGAAGAAAACCTGGTGTAACTGGCACGCTGAGGATGTGGGAAGGGTGGAGGGTGACGAGGCTGAGAGGCAGGCAGGCCTAGATGGTGATGACCACACTGAGCCCATGTCAAGACCTTGGAGTCTGTTTTCTGAAGCCACAGGAAGCACCCGGGACGCGTTTTCCCCGTGGACCGCTGAGTGGCAGAGCTGGAGTTTCTCCTCATCTTCAGGGAGGTGGGGAGTCATCTTGCCAGGGGGTTTTGGAGCTTATCCAGACCCTCTTCTCTGCCCGTCTTGCAGAAGCAGGAGGATGCTGCACTGCGCTACCTTTTTGCAGGTAACAGGGCCAGGTGACTACTTCTGCTGTGAGCAGAAGTGACGTTTCTGGACCATGTCTGACTGCTCGCTGCACAACAGGCCGATCCATCAAGAGACGAGATATTGAGGCAAGGAAGGTGGCTTCCTTGCAAAAGCTCACGAGAGGACAAGAGGGGTCTCTTGCCACACAGCTCCTCTGGATAGGAAGCTGATTTCTGAATGTTTATGTAGGCGGAGGACGGTGTCACAGGGGCTGGACGACTTCTCAAAGCTGGAGGCCTCACGATGCGCCTCTGACCCTGGTTGCCTAGTCATGAGAGGTTTTCAGTTTTGGCAAATCTCACAAAAGTCATTATTTCCTTGGGCTGTTCCTCTTGGTTTAGCTACATCTCACACAAGGACAGGTTGCGGGTAGCTGCCCAGGGCCTCTTGCTATTTGCAAATCGAATGCCAAACTCCCATAAATGAATAAAAATTCCCCATTTCTGGGTTTCAGTAGCTTATTATTTGTAGGTTGTCACGTTTAATTGCCAGCGAGAAGGCCCAGGGTTCTTTTCTCCTGTTGTGTCAAGCGGGGAGGCTGCGTGTTCTAGCCGTTGCAGCTGTGGGCTGGTGGACACCTCAGGAATCTCAACTCCTGAGCCGCTGCGTGGAGGAGTTGCCCCAGAGCCTCTTGGACCTGCAGAAAACTGTGAGGATATAGCCTCTGTTGTGTTAAACTCTTGGCATTTTGGTGGTGCTACGGCATAACCTAGCTTTGCATGATTAATTCATTTATTTAATTCAGTGGCTTCTTGACCATCAGATGGAAGCTGAGGGGCAGTTTGAACAGGGGCTCTTGGGCTGCTGCCTTTCTAGCTCTGACACGGGCCCCAGGCAGAGCCATGGAATGTGTTTGCCCCTGCACTGATTCTGCTGTGCTGCCACTGGCCAGGATTACGAGAATGGGGGCATATGGGTTGGATTGGGCTGGCCTACCCTGTGGATATCATGTGTTTTTTGAAAAAGAAAGAGAGAGGAAAGACTTTTCCTATTTCCCGTTTCTAGACTGAAGATTATATTTCAAGGGAAGTTTACACCAGGTCTTTATAGTCTAGGAAGGAGTAGGGAGCTCTTGAAAATCTTGGTTAGTGTCTTGCTTTTTCTTAGCTTTGCTACTTGCATGTAAATTATTGCATGCAAATTATTGCATGCATGTATATAATTATGTTGCTCTAATTTACAAACTTAAAAAGAGCTTTTCCCCATTGGTCTATTCACAATTTCTTATGCTCCTGAGGATCTGAAACATAAATATTTCCTCCCCAAACTATCTTACTGAGGAGGGGATTACCAGCACAGTACTTAAGAGATTCCAAGTATTTGTGGTCTTTTTATTTCACAGGTTTATTTATTTTTTAACATTTGTAAACAATTAAGTTTATTTTGAATTATCATATACTTGGATTTAAAAAAAAATTGTTTCCCAAGTTTATAATTGTGATCTAGATCATCTTTCAAGTTTAGTCATTTTCTCACAAAAGTAAGAAAAGTGATGCTGCTAAAGGCCTCACTGTTAATCAGAGATGGAGCCAGGACCACAGGCTGCGTCTCCCAGAGCTGTGCTCCAGATGCATCACACCTGAAAACATGATGATATAATAGAGTTAGAGTATATTCATGGTCTATTTCTAGTCCAGTTCAGAAAGCCTACATTTCAGGGCTTCTGTGGCTTTCCAGTTGAACATGGGGCAGAGTTCTGACGTACAACACTGATCAACAACAGATGGAAGGATCCCAGGATGAGATTTTGAAAAGATTTTTCATTGCTCACCTTTGTTCAGATATCTGACTACTTAGGATAAGTGAGGTTGTGCTGCAGTAACAAACTTACAAAATCTCAGTGGCTTACCCACACCCAGGTTTACTTTTCCCTCACAGTATGTTTGTCTGAAGTGGGTCAGTGGGTCTGGGTAACCTGGCACCTGGACCAGCAGAAGCTCCACCTACCTCTTGCTGTGGCACCGCCTGGAACACCCTCTTCATCATACAACAGGGAAGAAAGTACCTGAGTGCACCACACTGGCCGTTAAGTGCTCTGCCTGGGATGCTACTTGTCACTTCCACTCACCAACCATGAGCAGAAACTGGACTCAGGGCCTTGCTGTTAGGGGGTGAGTATAATTTTTCTGGATTCCAGGAAAAAGGAGAGAATTGGATATACGTGGGCCTGAAGGTTTCTTTGTGGTGAGGTTTTAAGTTATAGATTTAATTTATTTAAATATCTGATACTATTAAGACTTCCCAACTCACTTTATTTTGAGTTAGATATTTTGCACTTTGTCATGATTTTCCATTTTTTATCCAAAATTTCAAACTCACTGGCATGAAGTTCATAATATCTCCTTATGATGATGATGTTTATAGAATTCACAGTGTCGTTTCTTTTTCATGCTTGACCCTAATAATTTGTGCCTTTCCTTTTAATCATTCTTTCGAAGGGTTTATGCATTTTATTAGTTATCTGGAAGATTAGCTTGTGACTTTCCTGGATTTTCTCTGTAATATGTTTATTTTATACTTTATCAAGTTTTGCTTTTATCGTCACTATTTTCTTGTTTCAGGTTTAATAAGCTTTTGTTTCTTATACATTTTTTTTAATATTGCTGGGGATTGAATCCAATGCTTTTGTTTTTATAGCTTTTTTAGAGACATCTTAAAATTTTTGATCTTTTGTCTTTCTTTATTTGCACTTTTAATGCCATGTGTCCGGTGTGCTTAATTAGATGTAGTCAGTGAATCAGAGAATCCTTGCCTTAGACTCACTTGCAAGGTTGTATCTTAGCCAGTGATTCTCAACCAGAGGTGGGTTTGTCCCTTCAACCCCCAGGAACAACCGGCAGTCTCTGGAGACGTTTTGGATTGTCATAATTGGGGGAGGGAGCAACTGTTTTCTATGAGAAGATAATAGGAATGCTGTTAAAACTCCTACAGTGCACAGGACAACTTCTTACACAATGATCTGGCTCAAAATGCCCGCAGAGCTGAGGTTGAGGAACTCTGTGGGCCTGGACCTACTGATCAGCAGCAGATGCCCCTGTCCCCATCATGCCACCCAGTGGCTGCTGCTGTGGTTTGAATATGAGGTCATGAGGTGGTGGAAACTTAATCCAACTATGATGTTTAGGGATGGAGTTTTAAAAAAGGAATCAGGATAAGGTAAGGTCATCAGGGTGGTCCCCCTATGATTGAATGTTGGCGACTTGACCAGGAGAGTAGAGAGAACAGGAGGCACATGGCTGTCTCTCTAGCCATGTGCTGTGGCTTAGGCATGAGGTACCCCAAGAAACTCCTGTGCTCACGCAGGAATACTCAAGGGCGAAGCGACTGGGTTAGGAGAGCTGGGACCTCCTCAGTCCCTCCTAGTCTGAGTGGACTGACTAGATGATCATGTAGGCAGGTGGGGTGTGACTAGAGGAGGTGGGTCCTGGGGGTGTGTGTCCTGGACCCGCACCCTTCCCCCATGTTGCTCTGCTTTATCGTGAGCCCAGTCCCGTGGAGGTGGCTGACTATGGACGGAGACCTCTGAAGCTGTGAGCCCTAAATAAACTTCCCCTCCTCTTAAGTTGTCCTTGTCAGGTGTCTTGGTTATAGCAGAGCAAATCTGACCAACACCATGTCTTGCCCTGAGTTGCCTTGGGAGCTGGCCAGCAAGAAAGCCATCACCAGGGTCAACTCTGTGACCTTGGACCAGATCTGTGAGCCACAACAAGCCTTTTCTCTTTGTAACTTGCCCAGTATGTGGTCTTGTGTTAATAGCAAGAGAAAATGGACCGTCACTTGTTCTCTTGCTTCTTTTAGGTCCCAGAGATGCCATCCCTGACATCCTTGAACAGGTAGCTGGGCACCTAATGAGGCTGCGTAACCTCTACTTTATTCTATTTTTAACACATCATCTTACACATAATACACACATTTATAGCTAATGTTTATTTATTTGCTTGCTTCCCCCTTCCCTGGTAAAATAGAAGCCCTAAGAGGTAAACTTTGTCTATTTTGATACTATTTTTTTTCCAAGTAGCTAGAATAGTATTGTGTAGTTAGTTGAATAAGTTAGTACTAATTGCAAGACTGAATGTGTTGTTGCCTGGGTGCGAGTGTTTTCTTCCTAGTGTGCAAACACAGTTGCAAGTAAGACAGATGGGAAGTTAGAGTAAATACAAACATAGAAGACAGTTTCTGGTGGAAGAAGGCAAAGAGACTCCCCTATCTCCTTAGAACATTTATTTAAAAATATAACACCTACAAGCTCTTTCTCTGGCCCTTTGAGATGTCTGTAAACATCTTCAAAAGCTAAATAAGCTTCTTTCCAACTTTATAACCCAGAAGAGCATGGGAGCATCTCTTTGAAATGTAAGCATCCAGGAAGATGGTGCTCTCATCTCCAAGATTCTGTGGTACCCGACTCCCAATTGCTAACCTATTTTCTATCATAAGCACATGGAAAATGAGTTTTTCTTTTGCATAAAGGAAATTAGCAAACCTGGTGGCTGCACAATTATCAGGTGAGTTTGGGAGGAAGTGTGTGTGACAAAGGGTGCTGTCAAATTCTCTTGAGTACTAGTTTTCATTGATCTGGAGACCATCTGTGAGATGGATCACATCTGCTTGGATGTGTAAAGGGATGAGATATTTTTTTTTGTCTTCAGTGTTTTAGTGGCATGTCTGTGATACTTCACCAGTAACAAAACTGCTTTCCTTCTCTTTGACGTTTGTGGAGAGTTTTCTTGGTTGTTAGGAGAGTTTCTTTTTAATTACGCTTCCCCAACAATGGTCTCTGGACATCCCATGAGCTTACAGCGTAAAAGTGCTAGGCCAGAACTTCCTAGGCGGTTTCTTGGTTCTCTCTCTTGGTGGCTGCTAGTCTCAGAGTCCCATCAGCCTCTTTCTCTCACACCGTCAAGAACACTTGTCCTACTGTACCCAAAGCTGAATCTCAGCTTCAAGGTGGGAACAAGAAACAGTATAGGAATGGACCCTCCTTTTGCTCCTTGCGTGGATTGTTCTAGATGATGTGGGAATGGGCCTAAAAATTAGAGGAACTGGACTGGTTTAGGCTGTGTGGTCATCGCTGGGTGGTATGTGATCTCACACTCCACACTGGAGCGGGCAGTGTTTTTCCTACCACCTGCTCCTTTCTGAAGACCTGTCTTTCTTTTTTGGATAGAATGCACAACTCTGGTGATACTTAAGCAACAGTTTTGCTAAAGCTAGTGTAAGTGTACAATGGCTGTGCAATGTTAGAAGTAGACGTGAGACATGGTCCCTCGTTTTAGGGGTGAAGAGGGGTGAAGGGGCCTCACCTTAGGTCTTTACGAAGGTGAGCGGCACATACATTTCTCTCGTTTCTTTATTTGCTCTGTCTTCTAGTCCTGCCATTTTCTCTTCAGTCATCTCCTTAATTCCTCTCTCCTCAGTCTAAGTTCCCACTCATCCTTCCTGTATTTAGACTTGAGCCCCAGTGTGTCATTGAGATCTCTCTTCTTTTGCGTTAGTTGCTGAACTAAAGTTTGCCTTCATGATTGAGCTTCTGTCCATAGGCAAGGCTGAGGCTAGCTTTTCTTCTGAAATACTTGATGGGATGGGGGCTTTCCTCCCTCCTGTCCTTGGATGGTCTACTTGGTCTTCAGTTGTTGAATTAAGAGATGTTTCTTTTGGAAAATTAAAATGTCAGTGCACCCTATAACAGGGAGGGTACCACATGTATGAATGATTCTGAAAACATGTTGGAAAGTGAAGCAATCCCTGGGGCCCATGATACAGGTTGCCACTTGTGAAATTTAGAGCAAGAGAGAAGGAGCTAATGCTATTGCTAAAACTCCTAGTATTCCAAACCACCGTTTTAGGCATTGCCCCCCATGGTATCCTATTATGTTTTCTCAATACATTGCAAACCATGTTTGATTCTCTCTCTCTCTCTCTCTCTCTCTCTCTCTCTCTCTCTCTCTCAAATGGGAGAGAGTCAAGGTTAGAGATTGCAAAGCTTTCTCAGGGCCCTAGATGGTTAGATGCAGAGTGGGAACCCAAGACCATTTGCCACAGAAGCCCTGCACTTTCCCCATGCCACACTTCCAGTGTAGGGTTGGAAGTCCGCAGGTTCAGCTGAACAACCGAGACCTTCCTGTTACTTTAGAAGGACTGTACTGTGGACATGCTTTGAGGGCAGGGACCCTGACTGATCTACCTTTGCCTTAATAGGACTTAGCATAGGGAATGAAATTTAGGAGAAGCTCAATAAAGGCCTGTTGAAACAGATGAATGAATCAGACGTAGTCATCCTAAAAATAAATCTTCCAAAGGGGCTCCTCCTTTAAGAGTTTCTGCTTCTCTAAAACTTCCAGTAACTGAATCCTAGGGGATCACTTGGATTCCTTTTCTTATCAGTCTCTTTAACATTCATAAAGTTAACTTTCATAAAGTTGCCAGATGTTGTAATTTTACTTTTATAATGTCTCTAACATAATGTCTGTTCCTTTTTATTTCCATTGTCACCATCCTCATTCCAGCTAGCCCAGGGACTGTCTTCACTACTTCTGTTCACTCTCCATTTCATTCCGTCCTATCTGTCCATCCATCGACCCATCCATCCATCCATTCACTCATCATTGTTTTATTTCTTCAACATAATTTTATGAGGGGCTGGGCTGTGGCTCAGTGGCAGAGCAGTTGCCTGGCATGTGTGAGGCACTGGGTTCGATTCTCAGCACCACATAAAAATAAATAAAATAAAATAAAGGTCTATCAACAACTAAAAATATTTTTAAAAAAATTTATTCAAGATGTGACAAATGGATTATCACAATACAGTGATATAATAAGAAAAGGTTGTTTAGAGTGCTATAAGAACACAGAAAAGGGTCACTCTTGTCCAACTGGGGGAGAGAGGTTCAAAGAAGGCTTTGTGGAATAAAGCACCATCTGAGTTAAGTCTTGAAAAATCAGTTGAGCTAAAGAGGCAAAGAGGAAAGACGGAGAGGGAAGAGGAACACCCACAGTCACCCCCCCCATATCACTACTTCCTGCCCCAGTTCCACTGTTCCTTGAATTCTCATGTCCCTTGAGTGCATCAGATGCTCTTGCTTCAGGGCCCTTCGGTTGCTTTCTCCTCTGCCCG